ACATTCATCAAAGGGCACATACCTCACAGACAAATCTGATTTGTGCACATATTGTATTATAATTGTCAGCTATCCCCTACAAATGTATTAGGGATGTGGTTGACTTTTTGAGTTTGATGGATTGTATGTAAGCTGATTTATACGAGTTATATGGGCACTACAGCTTAATTGTATTGATGCCAAGGATCAGTAACAAGGCATGTCAGTTCAGGTCTTTGAGGAAAAACACGGTTCTATATCATCAGCCACAGTATTGTTGATGGGCTGGAAATACATTGCACTTAAATGATAATATCACATTTGAGGAGGCCAAGTATTGCCATTTGTCATTGGGTTTATGTTAGTCAGGGTCAGAAGGCCATGTCCTCAGAGGCTCCTGAGATACATTCTTAGATCTCTGTCTGTTGTGTTGACCAGGCAGCACTGGCCCGGAGCTGTAATCCCAAGCTTACCTTCTCTCTTCTGCTTGTTTTCCAGTTAACGGCTTGTCAGCAGCTCTCAAATTAAGGAAGTCAGTAATTAGATGGGGAAGGATACTGAATCTAAATGGGGGGGGGGGGGGTTGTGATTGGTTAGACAAGAATGTCTACTGCTTTCTGGAGAACCCCGGGCCTTTTGAGGCACATTTAGGTTCCCTTAGAGCTGTAAGTTTACCTGCGCAGAACGTGTTAAGGTTGATGTGTCCTCTCAGGTAGCACGGTTTCTGTGGGAAGGACCCCCATCTCTCCGGCCGGTTGGCTTATGCGTGTCTCTGGCAAGTTAGGCTGACAGTAATCCCATGGCATCTGTCTTGTTATTAGATTGGTTACTGACTTCAGTGCTTCCCACTCCCTTTAATTACCACTCTCTCCCACCAAGTTCGAGGACAGCAGTGGCGCCACAATGATGTCATGCTAAACATTTACACAGTACCCATGGCCGAAGGTGAGATGTTGTTATGTTTTGCCGGCAGCGTTGGGGTTGAGTGAATGTTTTGGTATCACAGTGCAAGCAGTGTTGACCTAAGAATCCATGGGAGACCTTTGACCACGGCGTGCCTTTGCTAGAAGATGTCTGCATATCTTTGCTTGCAAGTTGAGAAGTCCTTTTTGGTTTCTCCTCACACTCCTCCCCATGCACTGGTGTGATAGAATCATTTAAGAGGATGTCGCACAGAGTAGTTTAGAGTTTGCAGTATGAAATCAGAATGGTTCTTGATCCATTTCATGGTCCCCGATTCAAATCTGCCACAGTTAGCCACCAAAGTTCTTTCCAAAAGCGTCACAGGGCTGTGACAACCATCAGTTCCACTGGGTGTATGATTATGGCTCTTGGCGTACACTTCTTGGGGAAGGGAGCCAAGGGCCTGACAGTGTGATTACTTGTTGTGTGGTCCCAGACCTCTTTGTTTTAATGTTTATTTTCATTCGGCACCTCTATTATTTGTTGACATACTATAGATTATTGCCTCCAGTCTAAAGGCAACTCAAACGTATCTGGAACTTATCTGTATGAGCATAATGTGATTCTTCACTTGCGTAAAATCTAACAGTGACTTCTATTATTCCTGCATCTGGTTTCATCTGGCTGCTCTTGGATTTCAACATCTGTGACAATATATTGTGTCAAGTCAGAAGGCTGAGGACTTTTTCTGCCTGACACAATGAATTGTTTCGCTTGAGGCTCTGTGGCCATGTTGACAAGTCCCAGCATCTCCGGTGTATAAATCTGCCCATCACAGTCTGTGGCTATTGTCGTAGTAACAGTTCTTAATATGCAGAGAATGTGGGCACGGTTCCCAGCAGGTCCAGAGCATCCAGCCCTCGAGTAGGACATTTGGGCCTTCTATGACGTGGGTCGCCACCATTCCCAGGTAACCATGGGGGAATGGAGTGTGTCCAAGGGGAGAGCAAAAACACCTCCAGAAAATGTAGCCCCCACACTTGCACACAGGTAAACAAAACTTTCTTTGACTGACATGATAAGTGGGTGGATGGTAGCCAGTGGAATTGGAGGAATGATTTCTACAAGAAAACTTGATAGATGGTTCCTTGGGGTCCAGTCAGGTTATTTTCTCCAAGATGATGTTATGAAGTAAAAGGGCAATGGGTCATACCCACGTACAGTAGATGTGGTTCCTCTGGTTTTAGTGGCCTGGCTGTAGGAATTCCATCCACATTGCCAGTTGTTAGCAGCTGCTGCTTCTTTAAATGTGCCAGTTGAGCTTAAATGTTGTTCAAGCAGATCTCACACAGTTCACACGCAGATGGCTGAACATCTGAGCAACAGGCCACTATGAGATCAAATCAAACCTTTTTAAATTGGTTCAATTAACTGTAAAGTGATTTTCTGTAAGAGTAGCGTCAAATGCCAGTGATGTGTGTGCTGTTTGTTTGAAAGGCTACAACAGCTACGTTAGCAAACGATTCTCCATGGTGTATCGATTCAGATTGATCAGCCGCATTTCAAGATTACCAAAAAGTGTACATTGATGAGACAAAGGTATTTCAGGTTAAATTCATGGCAGTTATTGCACCAAAATCTCTATGGACCTCACAAGCCCATTGTGAACATGACTTGTGAGAATATATATAATTGGGCTCAATAATATGTTTCTTATTCCTTGGTATTTTGCTACAAAAATCAATGTAATTAATAGCTTGATAAATGATTATCTGGAATAAATGTGTGTTTGAAGCTAACTAGGCAGGGAGTTCTAAATCGGATTAATATTTTAGGTTTTATTAGGTTATCTACATTTGAGCAATGATGCCGAAATTCTGATTGCATTAATTCTCTGCCATTACAATGAATTAAATGAGCAGGAAAACCACGTTCGTTTTGGAAATAGAAGGGTCCTGTGGTTTGTGACTGCTTTCTGATTCTTATTATGATACATATATATATATATATATTTGTTTTGATGAAACTCTAATTTTAACAGTGTGAGAATGTGTACCATCTAATATTTTTTTTTTTTGTAGATTTTTATATATTGGTTTATGTCAGTTCATATGATATATGGAGTATATAAAAAGGTCTGTGTTTATTTTTCATACAAACATGGTTAAGAAATATAAATACTGTAATGTAGTAATTTTACGTACTGGCACTCGCGGGTCGATAATTTGGTGCCTCTTAGCCTCTTAGTCTGAAATAATGTGTGTTTTTATCGATTGAATTGAAGGTTACTGTAGCCTCTGATGAGAATTACAGTGACTATTAAGGCTATATAGGGGCTGAAATGTCACAGGGCATAAAGTCATGCCATGAATTACTTTATCCACATTCGCTGCGATATGCAGGTCTTCCGTATTCATCTACAGATGGTGATTTTGCCTGTTAGCCACATTGCTAATGATCCTTGTTATCTCTCTCTCT